CGAAGCCATTCAACTAGGGCTGTTGCTGCCTCATCTGCCTTCGCATCGGGAGTCCCAATTGACGATGTATGTCGAGCTGCTACTTGGGCGAACCCTTGCACTTTCGCCAAACATTATCGTTTAGACGTTCAGGCTCAACAAGATTGCTCCTTCGGCAGAGCCATTCTTTTATCTGTTCTTTGTTGAGGACACTTCCCCTCCTCCATTATGGTAAGCTTGTTAATCTACCCATATGTGTGATGCACAGAGGCCACGACAAAGAAAAGCAGGTTGCTTACCTGTAACTGATGTTCTTCGAGTGGCCATCTTTGCAGTCACACAACCGACCCGCTGGGCCCGCTTGGTGTCAGTGAGTGGACATTTTCGTCGGTACCGAACGTTTCCATTTTTTCTTGGTACTGATATCGTTTACAGTAGGGATATTTTTTCCACATGGGGGTGTACGTTCGGTCATCAAAGACTGAACAAAATGGCGGACGCTCCACTCTTTATAGGCCATGGGGGAGGGGGAGGGGAGCTTTCCTGCCAAAAACCATTAGCTTGTAATCTTCCGGCCAAAGGCACTGCGCAGGTGCAGCACCCATATGTGTGACTGCACAGATGGCCACTCAAAGAACATCAGTTACAGGTAAGCAACCTGCTTTTCCATGAACTTCCTTAAGTTGCCATAGGATCTAAGCCAAGATCAATATGGCAGCTTGTTGATATATCCACAAGCTAAAAAGCTAGTTTATCTGTGAGCTGATCTTTCAATGTTAAACCTGTCTGTAGTATAAAATAGATATTTACTATGAAGATGTTCTCATTTACATAAATGAAATAACCTTGTTTCTTATATATGATAAATTCCAAGCCAATAGTCAAACACTGTCTATAATACTTTTAGGGCATAATCCTATGCATTTTTGGACATTAAAAAGTCCTTCGCCTCCCAGCATTCTGCAACCAACATGGCTGACTTGGACATTCTGGAAGCTGTAGGATATGTTTCTGTCTAAACATTGGTACAGTTATATCCTTACTTCCCTACAGATTTTCTAATCCTTTAAAAATGAATGAGAAGCATAGTTCAGTGAGGTTTCCCATAACTCTCCAAACTAGAAGGATTGGAGGCATCCTAAGATAGTCAGAAGAAGCATGGAGGCAAAGGTAACTTCCAATCTTCTCCCACCCAACAAAATGCATATGTAGTCAATTTCAGACATTTAAATCTGGGGCATAAGGAGAGGATGTTGTGACACCACCAGAATACCATGCATGCTGGCAGCATCTGTCTCCTTCCAAATCCCCACAATTTCTACAAATTCTGTCATATTCAGTCTTGTGAACTCAAAGTTGCAGCCAACTGCAACATGGATCTTTCTACAAGTTGGAAGTCTCACTTTCAACCTCAGAGTGAGTTTCCAAATAATCCTTTACCCAGCTAGACTCTACCCTGTGGCCAAAGGATTGTACCCTAAACAAATCTATTAATGGCTGCTGGTCATAGCTAGATCCAGAGGAATTACAGGTAAATAGAGCTCTCTTTATCTCTCACATGTTTATTAGTGTGCCTACTAGTATGTGCTAATAGGGTAAATACTGCTTTATTCCTGTTTCTAGCTTTTCACAATATTTTAACCATATTTTTAGTCCCAGGAAATATACTTTTTAGGCAGATCAAGACTGAAAATGTTTTGACATATCTAAAAACAACAGAATAGCAACTAAAAAATCTCAAAACAACAAAACAAACAAAATGCAACAAGGGAATATGGCTATGCTAGGAAAGCTTTACAGTAATATAGTAACAATGATGTGGTTTAAGAATGAAAGGGCTATTATAGAAGATATATAAAGGTAAAGGTTTCCCCTTGACATTAAAGTCCAGTCATGCCTAACTCTAGGGGGCAGTGCTCATCTCCATTTTCTAGCAGAGGGAGCCAGCATTTGTCCGCAGACAGTCTCCATGGTCATGTGGCCAGCATGACTAAACACGGAAGTGCACGGAACGCTGTTGCCTGCCCACCAAAGTGCTACCTTTTTATCTACTTGCAATTGCATGCTCCCGAACTGCTAGGTTGGCAGGAACTGGGACAGAGCAACGGGAAGTCACTCCGTTGTGCAGATTCGAACTGGTGACCTTTCGATCAACCAGCCCAGCAGCACAGCAGTTTAAACCACTGTGCCACCTGCAGTCCCTTAGATAGAAGATATATAGGTTGATATAAATTCCAATTTACTGTGTAATCCCCTCCAAGACATTTGCATTTGCTTTATAAAGCCATAGGTGATTTATCATCATTCAATTGTCTCGGAGATTGCTTTTTCCAGGTGTTCTTTGCTCTCACATTAACAAATAGTAAAACTATCAGCAATTTTTGGGCATAGGCTTTAAATTGTAAACTTTAATTCCTTCCAAAATTAATATGTTATGATGTTCTGCTGCTTTGCCTTGTGAACAGTGAAAATCTCTTTATCTCTTTCCATGAATTCCACCCTTTGTTTGCTTTCTACTTGTAACATTTTGATTTTGAAAATTCACAGACTAAAATGTAACAAACTTTAAAAAGGATTATTCCATGAACCACAATTTTAAAAATTTCAATATCTATTTGATTCAAGACATCATTCCCAAACTGCATGACCTTGTGACAACTCAATTGACACATTGAGTACAATTGGATCAAAATTCCTAGGCTAAATAGTTACAAATATATTTAAAAAAAGATTGACTAAGTGTTACTGAGTAACCAAGTAACTAAATGCCAATGTGGTATAATGGTTAAGAGGATGGGAATAGGACTCAGGCAATCTCAGTTCTAGTGCCCACTTGGCCATCTGGGTGACTTTGGACCAGGCACAGACTCTCTGTCCATTCTTGTGTGGAGATGATTGAGAGCAGGAGGCAGAGAATTATGTAAGCTGCTTTGAATGCATTGTAAGGAAAAAAACAGGATATAAATCTAATAAATAAATGTAGAAATAGCCAATGGTATAGGCTTGCACTTTGTATTTTTACTGTTGAAGGCCATTGTGAGGAATACAGGCAACTTTCTACCACATGGATTTTGTCCAATTACAGATTATGAAGACTGTATAGTCATCAGGCTCAGTCCATATATATACAGATATATAATTTAAATTATACTGCAAGGTGCTTATACAAGTACTCAAAACTTTTGCAGATCTGGTCAGATCTTACAGGTCCAAGTGTAACATTGTGTCTATATCACCAAACTACTCATCATACTTAACCATATGACCATAAGGCAAAAGAATGAAGCATTCTCAAAAAAAGGGGGGATTTTCACAAATGATTTGCTGATACTTTAACTGTTGATGCTTTTTTAAAGATGGGTTTTATTTGTGTTAATTCAGACTATGCTGTGCTTTATCATATCACCGTCCTGGGACACAAGGTGAACTACAATATAGAAAAGCTTTTTATTTAATTAATTAATTAATTCACTCATTCTCCTCAACTGAACTATAGAGGAAGAAATCTTATACCACCATACCTGGTAGAAAAGCATAGACCACATTGTGTTTAGTAGAAATGCTTTCATTTCATGGGAAGGATGGCATCAGTGGTTGGCCTGGTAGGGCACCTGTTGAGAATATGAAGGCATGGAGTAGAGTAGCAGGCCATGCATGCTGAGATCTAAAGAAATAAGACACTTGAGTCCTTGTCACAGGCCATTCCTCCCAGCAGGACATGGATGAATGCCTTAGTATGCTCTTCCTTGGCAGATGATGGACTTTGCTGACCACTGATGTCAGATCTGGCATTACTCACCAAGCAGTGGAACAGTGTATATAAGGAATTATCATTTGCCTCGGTGACAATGAGATTCCTTCAGTAAGGTCTAAATATGCATAAGATTGTGCCCAAAGAAGGTATTAATTGAAAACTTGCACACTCCTGTGCATTTGCTCAGGTACTAGAGTTACTAGGACAGCTTGCTTTGTTCCCTTTGACGGTCTTCTGTTGATACTTTTGAAGGTCTTTGTTTCCTTTGAAGATCTTCTGTTGATACCTTTGTTCCCTTTGAAGGTCTTCTATTGATACCAATCCAGGAAGACTTTTCTCTTCTAGCAGTCATTTGTCTTCCTGGATTGTTAAATGGCTTTTAAGCTTCTGAAATTTGAAACCCTGTGTTTGTTTATAGTTCTAACTTTGATTACATTATTCACTGCCATTGGTGTTTTCAATAGTGGAGGTAAAAGGTGGGATAAAATATATCCATTTCCATCATAGACTTAATGAGCAAAAGAGGCTGCAAAGAGTTTCAGAATTAAGCCCATGCATACAGAACCTAGAACAGAATGCTGCTTTGTGGAGTGCTCCTGTCCAAAGTTTCAACTAACTAGCTGTGCCCTCTCCCAGGATATTACATTCCATTTCTGTTCCCGTTCGTTTTCTCTTCCTTTTTCTGCCCTTCCTTCAGCAGATCATCAACATCCTGATCACCAACATATTCAGTCATCACCGGCTGGTTGGATGGTTCTCTTAGGGTGTTTGTTCTTTTTCAATTTTTTGTTTTCAATTTTTGTCCACAAAATTGAAGACCCCTTGCCACACCTAATACCTCTCCCCTGCACATGCATAGTACTCTTTTGGGCTACATAAGGATCCAACTTTGAGAATAAATAAATTATTGGTATGTAGGATTTTGATATACTATATATATATCTGTTTTGCTTACCTTTCCTCCTGCCATCACTACCCCCCACGCCTCCCAATTTCAAATCCAGTTTCTGTGTTCCTTGCACAAAATGTTATGTGTGTGACTCTTCATGGCTCTTTGGTGCACAGTTACATTGTGGAGAGCTACCTCTGCCTCACAGTAGCACTCCGCATCTCCTTTATGTGTAGACAGATGTGCTTTGATGTCACAAAATCTCACCCTGAGTTGATCTGTTCATGAAAGTTACCAAGTGGCACTACAGAGAAGGAGCTCTTTGATGTCAATATCTTCTACTGATCGTTATTTTGCTCATGTCTGTTTGCTTTACAGGGCAGAGTTCAAAAAACGTCAGCTCTTCTCCAAGCATTGAAAGTTTGTCTGGAGGACGTGAATACACAGGGTCTCCACCTTTGTCTACTGCCAAGAAAGAGTCCTTTTTCATTAATTTTTCTCATTCTCGTTCTCACAGCAGAAGTATGAGCAAAAAAGAATCTGTAAGTCCCTACCTCTTACGAGATATATTTGGTTTTTCTCATATTGTCTCATATAATTGTCTTGGTAGGAAAGTACATACCTCTTGACAGAGCCAAAACACAGGCATAATTTGTTCAAAACATTTTCAGATGACTGTTTTCCTTATTCCCTAGTTATAAAGTTGCATGAATCCACTGAATATTCTTGATGTCTCTTATTGAATAAGGGAAGATATTTTTTCCTCCGTATACTTCAGGGCTAGACATAAATTTGATTCTCAGTACACTATGGTTTCTCTTTAATATCTCCTCATACTATATGCCATTGTGTTGCCAGAGATGTTTGTACTGCAGCAATTAAACTGCCTCATTCTATGTACAAAATAATTGAAATACAAGCCTCACTTGCCTCTGAAATTCCTCCAAGTTCTCTTCATGTGGCTTTTTTGTTGGTCTGCTGTTGCTCCAGTAGTGGGTGGACAAGGCAATCCTGACTTCCCAGTGTGCAAAGCAGCGCCAACAGCACTGCTTTCATTATTGCCATTATATTTGCTCGGTGCCAGCCTTTCTCCCCAACATTATAAGGCAGCCCTGGCTGAGATCCTGGCATCTGGTTTACAGTCACTCACTGCAAAACATGTAATCAGAAAGCAATGCTATTTTATGATTAGCTGTTTTAACCAATAATGAAATATAGTGGCTTACTTTTATCACCAAACTGGCATCCTGGCATGATAAAGCATATTTAAAAAATAATAATAAATCATTCCCCTGAGGGACTTCCCAACTTAGCTAGGAAAGGAACAGCTGCAGATCTCTATAAATGGAGGGAGTGGTGGTAAGAGTGGTGATTGATGTGAATAGTGTCGTCAGCAGAGACTGATGTGAGAAGGACATCACTTTCCCACTAGAGACCTGTTTAGGTGTGTTGAGGTGGCTCTGCAAGAGTTAGACAAATAAGAAGGTGCTTGTGGGACCCTGTTTGTGAGATGCTTGGAGCAGACTGCAAGCTTGGCCTGCACATCCTGCATGACTCTGCATGTATCCTAAAGAGAAACTCATTTTTAAGTTCCCCTTTTCCATTTCCTGTGCTAAACCCATTGAATGATAATGCAATCAGATTTTTAAGTGACTTTAGAAGCATCCTTGGAGTCCTTGGGATCAGACTTGCTCATAATGCAAAACATCTGGGTGGAAGAAAAGTGGACAGTGCACCAAACCCTGTTTCCAATATCCTGTCACAGATTTTCTGTGTGATGCTTTACGTGTTCTGCCAGTGCAGTGTCATGCTTGACCTGCATCTCCTCGACTCTCCTACATCATCCCTTCTTCTAACCCAGAGCTGCCCAGACACCCCACTTAGAGTAGGAGGTGACATATAAATGTCAAAAATAATATAAAAATAAATAACCCCACCCCAAGAGATTTTGCAACCATCTCTATTAAAACTATCCGGAGCAGCAAAGTACTTTTTTTAAATAAAGGAAATAATTTAGGTCTATAACATTCCATTACTTCCACTTAAACACACCAATAGAAATTATTATATTTCCATATTTATAAGTATATATAATGAATTCAAGAAGTTTTCCAGCCACTGCTTATGTGCCAACTGACTTTTACTTGAATATGATACATAATCCTTCTAGAATTTAGATCTAATGCTCCTTTTATCCTCTAATATGATGTTATACAAGAAATTTCTATAATTCTGTGATATTGATCCTGCTTTGACAATCCCTTAATACATTTTATGAATAATTTTTAATGAGGTCTTTCGCTTCTATTTTCTACACAAATGAAAATAATTTTATGGAAAGGAAGACTGTGAGGGAGGGATGCAAATAGAAGTCTCTTTGTTTAGTGTTTTTGTTGTCATTAGAAATAGTGCTAATTAGAGATGCTGCCGAAACTTGAAATTAGCTTGGTTGTAGATAGAATTTATTATGTTTATGACTGTACCAAGCCGGGATAGTTATCTAATAAATGTTAGTGTTCATTATTCAAACCAAGATTGATTACAAGTTGTCATCTATATTTTGCACTGTAAGATCTGCATGTCTAGTGGACAACTAAACCTCACCATCTCTGTGGGTGTCCTTTATTTTCTAAGGGAAATCTAAAGATCCTGTTTGCAGTGCTCACAAAATGAGACCACATTAACACTTTAGTTACTCTTTCCCAAACTGCTCACTGCAAAACATTGAATTTTAAATCCTTCAGCAGCTTAGGTTTGAAGAAACAAGCACATAAGAACATCCACACCTTATCCAACCTTTCTTTTTCAGTCATCGCTAGCCTTCATTTCTGCATCTGGCTACTCAACTGATGCCATTTCTCTCAAGTATTCAGTTGTTGTTTTCTTGTTTAGTTTACTTTAGATGTCCATAATGGAGGGTGGCACTATGAGGACTTTCAGAGGAGGGACAAGGGAAAGTTCTGAAATTCATCAGATAAAGGCAGCTCTTCTGCAATTCCTGGTTGGACAATTATTTATTTATTTAAAATATTTATATGCCATCCTATTCGCAAAAAGCTTCAGGATGGCCTACAATATGAAGTATAACATAAATAAATTCCCGATGCACACTAGCTGCAATTAAAAACATAAAAAGACAATATTAAAACTTACTAAAATACCGTTGGAATAAAAAGGTCTTAACCTGGTGCTGAAAAACAAACAACGACGGTGCCAGGCGGACCTCTCTGGGGAGCACATTCCATAGATGGGGCACCACTGCAGAGAAAGCCCTCCTCCAGGTACTTTGCTTCCTAATATCTTTCACGGAGCATTCCCAGAGGAAAGCCTCTGCTGCCGATCTCAAGGGGCGGGAGAGCAAATATGGAAGAAGGCGTTCCTTCAGGTATCCAGGTCCCAAGCCATTTAGGGCTTTATAGGTAATAACCAGCACCTTGAATTAAGCCCAGACTTTGATGGGAAGCCAGTAGAACTGGTAGAGGACTGGTGTTATGTGAGAATAATGCCCAGTCCCTGTCAGCAACCTGTCTGCTCTGTTTTGCACCATCTGAAGTGTCCAGACTGTCTTCCGGGGCAGCCCCACATAGAGCGTGTTACAGAAATCCAACCGGGAAGTAACCAATGCATGTGTCATTGTTGTTAGGCAGTCTTCTTCCAGGTAGGGGCGCAGCTGATAGATTAGCTGAAGCTGAAGGAAAGCGCTCCTCGCCACTGCAGTCACTTGAGCTTCCAAGGACAGCTCTGGGTCGAGGAGCACTCCCAAGCTGCGGACCCTGTCCTTTAGAGGGAGTGCAACCCCATCCAGGCCACCTATCCAGGAGCTCGATCTACCCACCAACAGGACTTCCGCCTTGGCTGGATTAAGTTTCAGTTTATTAGCTCTCATCCAGCCTATTACCTCGGCCAGACACTGGTTCAGTACAGTCACTGCCTCACCTGGATTGGTTGAAAAAGAGAGGTGGAGCTGGGTGTCATCAGCATACTGATGATCCCACAGCCCAAACCTCCTGATGACCTCTCCCAGCGGTTTCATGTAGATATTAAATAGCAAGGGGGACAAGATGGAACCCTGTGGTACTCCATGGCATAGCTGCCATGGCGCAGAGCCAAAGTCCCCCAGCACCACCTTCTGGAATCGGCCATCGAGATAGGAGCAGAACCGCTGCCAAGCAGTGCCTCCTACTCCTAATCCTGCCAGCCTATCCAGAAAGATACCATGGTCGATGGTATCGAAAGCCGCTGAGAGTTCCAGGAGGACCAACAGGGACGCACTCCCCCTGTCTCTCTCCCTGCACAGGTCATCGTACAGGGTGACCAAGGCAGATTCATTACCAAGCCCAGGTGTGAAGCCGAACTGAAATGGGTCCAGATAATCAGTTTCATCCAAGAGTGCTTGGAGTTGTCCCGCCACCACCCATTCCAACACCTTGCCCAAAAACGGGATGTTGGCCACCGGTCTATAACTGGCGGCCATCTCTGGATCCAGGGACGCCTTCTTTAGGACAGGCCTGATTACCGCCTCCTTTAAAGGAGCAGGCCCCCAGCAGTCCCTCAGAGAGGCGTTAATAACCTCCAGGACCCAGGCACCAATCCCGTGTTTGGCTTTGGTCAGCAGCCATGACGGGCAAGGGTCAAGTAAGCAGGTGGTGGGACGTACTCATCCAAGCACCTTGTCCACATCATCAGGCCGCAATAACTGAAATATATCCAATAATACCTGACCAGATGGAGTCATTGGCATCTCCCCTGAAGGATCTGAATCACTTGTGGAGTCCAGCTCGTGACGAATCTGAGCGATTTTCTCCCTAAAGTGCTTGGCAAAGTCGTCGCAGCGGGCCATCGAAGGTGGTACAGGATCTTTCTTAGGGCCAGGATGTATCAGCCCATGTATCACTCAAAAGAGCTCCGCTGGACAGCACTGTGAGGAGGCAATGGAAGTGGAGAAGAATTTCTTCTTCACTGCCCTCACCACCACAGCATAGGCTCGATAATGAGCTCGTAGGCGTGTTCGGTCAGATTCATCCTGTGATATACTTATATCACTTATACCACTCCTACTCCAACTGGCTCCAGGATGAAGAGCAGAGCATGTGAAAACCATCATTCAGAGAGGGAACCATAACATAGTGTAGCTTGATACTTAGTACGGTGCCATGCTGCAGTTCACAATTGTACGTGGTTTAAGCTAATACGCCATGGGTCCATGTTCTCAGAAGCATGGAGAACTTTTGTCTGAGATTGATGGAGGAATGTTTTAACAAGTGACAAACAAAACAGTTGATTACAGTTTCTTTAGTGATAAGTTTGCCCAGCACTAGGACTAATAAAAAAACAAAACGTTAATTAAAATTAATGCCAGGGTAATAAATTGCATCATTTTAAATGACAAGCTGTACTTCAGTTCTAATTATGGTTTTTTACATCCTACTGAAATCACTAAAAAGAAATAGTTTGTCCAATTTCTTTCACATAGCTAAACATGGCCTTCTTTAGTGCATGAACAAATAAAATATGTCAATGGGACAGCCAGTGTGGTGTGATA